TAAAAGATTGCTTATGATTGGCAAAACGTTTTTTCCATTCACTTTCTGTTATGCCAATATATTGGCATAACAGAAGGTGAATGGAAAAAACGTTTAAGAAAAAAAAGAAGTTGTTATGCCAATATATGAGGTTCTGTTATGCCAATATATTGGCATAACAGAACCTCATTTTTCCTAATTTCAAAGGTTGTATATGTGTGTGTATATATATTATATATGTATGTATAATGTATATAATATACATATATATCAGGCCTTCTCGTAAAAGGCGGGCAATTGCACGCCTTATATGACCACACATATAGTTCTTTGTTTTAACAACTTGATCACTGCTCTTTGCAAGTTTTGATAATTAGCAAATGTAATTATCTAATTATCAAAACTTGCTCTTTGCAAGTTTTGATAATTAGATAATTACATTTGCTTTGTTTTTTTTTAATTAGATAATTAAAAAAAAACAAAGCAAATGTAAATGCGATTTTTAATTTAATTGATTCCGTAATAACAATTAAACTGCAACAAAATTTCCTGAGTACTTTAATGCAACTTAATAAAAGCAATCATTGAAAAAAATATTCAGATTAGAGTTTAAGGCAAGATGAGTACAGAAGCTATCAAAAAATAATTACAAACCGTTTTATCATGGAAATATAATTTCTAATAAAGAAATTATTTTCTAAAAAAAAAGAATTAAAATAATCTTTTTTTTTTAATGAACATTGAGTTGCATATCTTTATTTATTGACGAACATCTAATTTAAGAGATTTATGTCAAAAAAACTTCAAATAATTTTTATTCTGGTTAATAAGTTATCAAATATATTAAAGATACTGGGTAAATTTATTCAATTATTATTTTTCAAAAACTTTTTTTTTACACATTTGCTTTGCAAATGTGTAGAAAAAAAGTTAATGAAAAAAATTAATGACAAACGTACAATAAAAAAAACTTTTAAAAGGGTTCTTAATATGCAAACAAACATTATGGAAAATAAGAAAATTAAAAAAAAAAAGCATGCAAAATTTTATTTATAATAAAATCATTTGCTTTAAACTTTTAATGTAATTGCTAAAAACATAAAAGAAACCATGCTTAAACATTATGATCGCTTTCTTCAATAAAGAAAGCAATCGAATTGTTTAAGCACGGTTTCTTTTGAAGTTTTTGCAAATGCATTTATTTTAAATAAAATTATGCATAGTTTTGTGAGCGCATGCAAAAACTATGCTAAAATATAATTACTTTCTTCTAGATCGTACTTAGTTATTTTACTTGAAAGTGACACTATTGAAAAAAGTAATTATGCTTTGGCATTTTTTCAAAAAAGTCTCTGAAATTAATTGTTTTTCATTTTAAATATTTTTTATAATAAATAAAAAACTATTGATTGCAAAATTATTTTGAAAAAATTACTGAAGTAATGCGATCGTTTTGAAAAATCTTAATCAAACGACAAAATTTGCATAAGCAAAATTAAAGAAATGTGATGTTAGTTTTTCGGTCTAACTTTTAAGAAATTTTTTTTAGCGCATTTTTTAAATGTGCTAATTATCAAAACTTGCAATGAGCGGTGGTCAAGTTGTTAAAACAAAAAACTATATGCATGGTCATATAAGGCATGCAATCGCATGTCTCTTAAGAGAAGGCCTATATATATATATATATATATATATATATATATATATATATATATATATATATATATATATATATATATATATATATATATATATATATATCAGTGTGGAAAATAAGAAATCAAAGGCGAGCAGTCTATTTGACCAGCTAACACAAGGAATTGATGATCAACTGTTTGTTTGTTTTTAATGGTCAAAATTTTTATTTTCACTAGATTTCTAGTTTTTTATGACTGAACTTCATAAATACAAAAATACATTTGAAAATTATTAAAAATGCTTGAAAATTAACAAATTCATATTATTTTAATAATAATATTTTTAAATAAAATCAATGCTTTTTTTGTGCAATTTTCAATGGTTTGTTTGCAAAAGTGCAAATGGGCTATTGATAATTTCTAATTATCAATTGCCCATTTGACAATTTAAAAATAATTCATTTTATAGCAAAGACTTTGCAAATGGTGGGAAAAGCTACAAGAAAAATAGTTGAAAAAAATAATTTAAAAAAAAAAAAAATACAGTTGAGATAATGTTCTTAATTACAATCAACATTTTCAATTAATAATAAAATAACAAATTCAAATCTCTGAAATTCTTATTTTGTTAGAAAAATCTAGAAAACTAGGGCACATTTCATTTCTCTTGCTCATTAAAATCATTAAAAAATGTTTAATTATTTAATAATAATGCTTAATAATAAGTTAATAAGTTAATAATAATGTTATTAACTTTTGTTGGCAGACACTATTTAACTGAATATTTAATACTAAGAAAACAATTGTTTTATGAAACACAACTACAAAAATTACTCATTTTACATAAAATGAGATTTTACGAAATATATTTTTTTAGTAATCCTACTATTATAGAAAGAGAAGTGCAAATGCACAATTAGTAATATTAAACTTATCTATAAATCATTCATTTATTTGCAAATGCGGCAAAACTAACAAGAAAATAAATACAAAGATTCTAAGAAAAATAAAACAAATTGACTGAGTGCAGCTAAAAAAAATGTTCTTAGTTAAAATACAAAAATTATTATAAATTATAGTAACATTATTAAAACAATATATTAAATATTTTTATTAAAATAATAATAAAACAAGAACTTCAATCAATTATGAAAAAAGGATTTTCACCATCAGTAAAATGAAAGTAATTTAAATAAGTGAAGAAAAAGAGCAGAAGATGGTAGAATCAAAAACCTATTCTGATGTTTGGAACTTTGCGTAAATTAATGACCAGATAATAACTCATTGCTTTAAATAATTATAACTCAAACATATTTTAAAAAAAAGGCCTAATAAATATAATTTACATCATGTATAATATTCATCATTGAAAAGAATTAATAGGTTCAAGGTTGTTAAAGTAAAAAAAATACTGGTTTCTATCAACATGCAATAACTATTTGATAATAATTTTAACAATAATAAACTTTAAACATATTAAAATATATTTTAAGTAGTTGAAATAAAAATATAAAATTACTAATAAATTATTATTTTTAATCATTAAATTATTAATGAAAAGTTAATTTAATGCAACGTTTCAAAAACAAAGATAATAACCAGGCTATATTGATCGGAAAAATAAAAATTCAAATCATATGTTTTAAAATTCAGATTTTTTTTCAATCGCAACCGTGACTGGCAAGAATTCATTTTGGGAGGGCAAAATAATAATTTCAGTCATTTCAAGCAGTCATTAACCTGTTGACCAGCTGTCATTTTCCACATTGATATATATATATATATATATATATATATATATATATATATATATATATATATATATATATATATATATATATATATATCAACTATATATGTATATATCAACTATATATATATATATATATATTATCAACTATATATGTATATATCAACTATATATATATATATATATATATATATATATATATATATATATATATATATATATTATATATATATATATATATATATATATATATATATATATATGTATGTATATATATATATATATATATATATATATATATATATATATATATAGGGTTATCTATATTATCATATGCCAAGAAGGTAAGCTGGTGGTGTTTCACACCTTCAGTATCACATCATCATGCTGATGAGACCCAAGGCCAAAACACATCCATGATCAAACTAATATTTCATATCAGTTATAGTTCGACTTAACAGGAATTCGCTTTAGTCGAACATTTGTAAAGTCAAACCATTTTCTTTGGCCCCATATATATATATATATATATATATATATATATATTTATATATATATATATATATATATATATATATATATATATATATATATATATATATATATATATATATATATATATATATACATATATATATTATGGTCAGACAAAGGTCTGACCATAAAACATGGAAACGAGGTCGGCAATTTTTCGCCAACCTCAAACACTTTCAGGTTGGCAGTTAGGTCGGCAATGCTGAATGCTGACCCTAATTTCGAGGGTTGTAAATAAATATATATATATATATATATATGAAGACTGCAGGGGAAAAAAGGCACATGTCACACATTTCCACTTTTAAAATAAATAAAATTTTGTCTTTGAAAGTCGCTATGTTTTCCCCTGTATGCCTTTTCTTTAGCTTTTTTTAGGTTGGATTTTACTACTTTGCTAACCTTCAGGCTTATGTTTATATAGTAGGGGACATAGCTCAAATAATTGGATAATGTGACATGTGCCCTTTTTCCCCTGTGGTTTTCATATATATATATATATATATATATATATATATATATATATATATATATATATATATATATATATATATATATATATATATATATATATATATATATATATACATATATATATATATATATATATATATATATATATAAATACTATATATATATATATATATATATATATATATATATATATATATATATATATATATATATATATATATATACATATATATATATATATATATATATATATATATATATATATATATATATATATATATATATATATATATAATAAACATAAACATAAATCAAAATATACGAGGTGCAGGTCTTGGAGGTGGCACTAAATCATAGTTTGGAACCTAAAGAACAAAATACAGCATTTAAGGTTACTAAATTTCTTCAGCAGAAAGTAACACTGAAAAGAGTGATACTTTCTGATAGTAAAGGAAGAAACTAAAGTTACTTCTGCTACAACATATAAAAAGCATAAAAATTAAAAAAAGAAATCAGCATATAAATATCTTTTTATAAAACATATTTTATACTGAAAAATATTATGAATAAAAATAGATGACTTGCATAAAACCTAACATTAACACTTATCATGCTTAGGTAGTTATTTTAAACAGCAACTAAACACTAAAAACGCCACCCAGATTATTTATAATGCGTATGTATATATTTCTTTTATATGCATATATATCTTTGTGACAGCGTTGACAATATAAAAAATCTGAGATTACCAAATATGGTATTTGATAAAAAATTATGAGAAAAGTTGAGAAATTTTGTTTTAATCAAATTATTTTTAAGGTGAAAATAAAGTGAAAATATTTTAATTAAAAAAATAAACTAGTTTTAAATAAAAGATGTTGGAAAATGTTTTTTTGTTTTTTTTATTATTTTTACATAAAAGATTATTTTTTTTCTTTTCATTTTAGGTATTCATTTTTATCTTTTAAACATACACTGCACAATATAATGATAAGACACCCCGTAAATACTTATAAAATTCTACTATATAAAATATGATGACGGCAAGAATTGCAAGTCAAACTTTATATTAAAAATTCCAAAAAATTCCAAAACAAACATCATAAAAACATTAAAAAGACAAAAGTAAAACATCAACTGAAAAACATTAAAATAAAAACATTGCTTAAAAAAGAGAAACAAAGGTATTACAAAATTTATATAAACAAAAAGCTTATTCGCCGTTAATGAACTATTTTGAATGAATTGAATTTTTTTTTTAATGAATCAAAAAAAACAATAATGCTCCTGTGAAAAATTTTGAAAAATAATAAATAATGCAAGTTTATGATTGGTAGAAAGAATATTGATTTGAAAACAGTAAAATTATATAAAAAGTATAAAAATAATCATCCAGGAAAAAAGCGACAGAAAATTATTTTTTTTTATTAAAAGAAACCAGGATCTGAAACACCTGCTAAGTAAAAGTTTACAAAAGAAAGTTACAATTACAAACAGGTAATAAGTGGAAAGATTCTACGCTTGCGAAATATAATGCTAATGATTGGCTTGAAATAGAGAGTGTTCATGGAATAGTTACTGCGTTAAAATGCAAAGTATGCCAAGAATATGCTTCTTAAATTCAGATTTAAAAAAGGTACATGCCAGAATGGAGTGGTGGAAAAAGATTCAGTTGATTGCAACACAGTTCCGCAATCATACATGCAGAAGAAATGTCACACCATAAATCTTTTAAAATATTTATGAAAACAAGTGATATGAGTTTACCTGAGAAAGTATTATTTCCAGTATTATTTTGCTTGATTTATTTATGTTATATTTTTTACCATTTTAGTTATGCATGATGGATCCGCTAATTTTCTTAAACTTGTTGACTATAAAGTAAAATATAAATTGCAAAAGTTTCACTTTTAGGTACACGATGGATTGCAGTTCCGGCTTTAGAGATGATATTAGACAAATACAGTGTTTATTTAACACATCTGGAAAATATGATGGAAGATCATGCTTTTACAAATGCTAAATGAGCTAAGTTTAAAGGATACCACAAGAAGTGGGTTCATGCAAGAATACGGCATTACATTGCATTGTTTATCAAAATTTTAGCACCAGCAAAATGGTTGTCAAAATTTTTTCAACGTGGGGTAATTCCACATCAAATCACCCAAAATTTAGTAAATTTTGAACTATGGTACCTCAAATTTTTTAAAAACTTCTTGGCTGTTACATCTTAAAAAGAAAAGTTAACACATAAAATTTCAGCTGTAAATATCTAACTGGAAAAATTTAAACATATGGAACTTTAATTTCAAAGAAAGTAAAGTTCCATATGTATACAACAGAAGGATTTGATATATATAAATTATACAACAAAAGGATTCTGAAAAGGTTTGAATTATTTCTATATTAAGTCTTCTCCATTTGATGAGCACTTTCGCGCTCTTGCAGTTTTGTGCTCACCGACATGCCCGCCAATACTACGCCTGGCACTTTTTTAAGCGCTCGCCAAAAAATTCCAAGCGTGTTATTAAATTCCAACAAATTTTTTTTCTTAATATATTTTTAATTAGAGAGGTAGAAAAAACAAATATTTTTTAAAAACGCACACGCCGGACAAATAATAACTGTCTGGGCAGCGCTTTTTCGTGTGATGGTGGTAAATTTCAAACGAAGAAGACTGTATACTAATTTTTTTTTTTACTGGAAATTAAGTAGGAAAGAAGAATTTTTTTTTTTTAAGGAAATACATTCATACTAAGTAATTTATTATAAGATGTGTTCTATTGGCTTAATGACATCAGATGCATGCAAAAGCCAACAAGATGTTATTAAAACTTTAAGCAATGAAGAAAAAATAACTATATCATTATGCTGTAACATTGAGCTATCAAACTTAACAATATTATGTGAAAGACATATTACAAAATATTTGAATTAATTTTTTTTACGTTATATTCAAATTTTAATGATTAAATCAATTTGTCTGTTTAATTGAAAATTAACTTAATTGAAAGTGTTTAATTGAAAATTAACTTTAGCATAGGAAACCAGAGTGATTTGTATGTTTAACAATGGGTTAATTTTTTTAACTGGTGTGACAGGAAGAGTATGGCCATTAGATAGTCAAGTTAAAGAAAAAGTTCTCTCTAAACAATTTACGAACCTTTGATCCTAAACATACAAAAAAAATCACAAGTAGAATTTAAATACAAATTAAAAAATTTAGATGTAGAATTTAAATACAAATTAAAAAAGTATTATATACACTTTTTTAACTTGCATTTTCCAAAACATTAACAAAATTTTAAACAATTGTGCAAATAAGCTTTATACAATTCAATTACTCTTAGAAAATTTTAGAGTAGTTACAATAAATGAGTCATAAGTACAAGTGGTACACATTCTGTTTGTGTTTGTTCTTATCACCAAAATGCCATATTGCTAGTAAATGCCTTAATTATTGGAATAAAGTATAAGGATTTACTTTCGAAAACCGTTTGCTCAGTAGAAAACAAAGAATGCATGCTTGCACAGTGTGATAATTGCCCTGGTAAAGAACCCCTCACCAAATATTGGTATGAGATTTTTTTTTTCATTTGTTCACTGATGGTTGTGCAAGACAATACAAAAATTGTAAAAGGTTTTAAAATCTATGCCAACTAGAGAGCGAATTTGCCCTTAAAGCTGAATAGAACTTTTTTGCCACGTCTCACGGAAAGTCACCATACAATGGGATTGGCAGTACTGTAAAAAGGTTAACACTGCAAGAAAGTTTAAAACATCCATACAGAAACCAAATTTTCACATCAGAAGCTATGTATGAATCTTGTATTGAGAAAATCAAGGTTGTTAACTTCATTTACATAAAGGGATTGGACTTACAATTGCAACGTGAAGAGCAAAAAGAAAGCTACACTGGTGTAACAACTCTACCTGGTACTTGTAGCTTTCATCAATTTATACATCTTGGAGATAACAGGGTTGGGACAAAGAGGTGTAGTACAGACACTAATTATACAATAATTCACAAAAGGTCCATCAATCTGTTTTAACTGTCTGAAAGAGATGATTACTGTTTTATTCCAAAACACCAACATATTGAAAAATATATCTGTTCGATAAGCTTGCTCTAGTTCCGTAGAAACTATGTGCTTGAAAAAGCTGAAATAAAATGGGAACAATATTGTGAACTATTACAAACACAATCAAAATAACTTACATCTTTGATACATTTAAAAATCTTGTATATCTAAGTAACTTTTTAAATTACAATTAACTTATTTTTATTTTATTTACAAATATTTTTTGGGAATATTTTGATGGGGGTGTTTTGAGATATTGGCCCCAAATTTGGTTTATAGAAACTAGTTGTTTTATTATTTTTTAAGCATGTTCCTTTTATATTTCAGCATTTTAAGTACATTTATTGAATTCAGCATCAAAAAAACATATATGCTTATTTTCATATTTTTGCAATTTTAATTTCTTATTTTTTTGCTATGAAATGAAAACATGTTATGAAAACCGGATTATTTTGGGAAACCAGGTTAATATAAAAATTGAAATATCTTTTCAACCGCTCAACATTTTTAGCTGAAATTTTACATTCAATATTTTTTTATAATTAGAAATAATATGTAAAAATATAACACAAAAAGAAGACACATGGTTCAATGAACTGGGTGATTTGATGTGGAATTATCAAGTGATGAGATTGATGTATTAGCTTCATCAGGGTTTATTCAACAAGCTAAAAACCAATTAAATTGTATTCAAAAGACAAAACTTATCAATTTGCCAACAGTAAAAAGTTTCCTTGCCAAAGTGATTGAAAAGGCTGGAAAGTTTTATTCCTAGGGTGTCACACTTAACAATTTTGTAAATGCTAAACATTTAATAAAAAATCCAAAGCCTATTCTTATTGAGTTAGTAACAAATTCAATCATAGAACACTTTAAAACATGTGATAATATCCCTGATATGTATAGCATTAAAATTTTAAATAGAGAAGGATGGCTTCAAAGTATTGAAAATGATACATTCTTGGATGAAGGAATAGAAAAACCTTATGACTTTAAGAAAATGCCGTTGCAACATGCTGGTTTCACAGGAAGCGTAAATGATGTTTTAAGCATTTGGCATAGCTTAGTAAATTACACTGTAGAGTACTTAATACAACTTAATACCGGTTACCGCAAGTTATGGCACCAAATATAATCCAGCTTGATGAAAAAGAATGGTCCCAGTTCTACTTCTTGTCAAACTATTATTTGCTTTGCCTGTATCTAATGCAAAAGTTAAATGCCTTTTTTCAATAATGAATAGAGTTTATATAATGTATTTTATTTGATTTAAGTCCTGCTACAGAGTTATGGGCAAATGATGTAGTGCGAAGGCCACTACATCATTCACCCATTATAAAGGCTTACTATAGTGCAATTATAGCAAAACACTTAAAAAAATTATTTAAAAGGCTCATTTGTATTTATATTGTGACACTTTAAAACAAGACCCAGTATAAGTTTTGATTTTGATTTTTTCATTGTTTCGGAATTTTAAACTAAATTGGAATTCTGTGGTATAAGTAGTGCTATAAAGCACAAACATAAAAAGAGTGATGCAAAAATTACTACACTTATAAAAATTTGATACAAACTAACAAAAAATCTAGATTTCAATTCTTATCATTTCAGCCAATCAGTGTTGATCTGCAAAATTATTTTTATTAAAATTTTTTAAATAATTATTTCAATCAGTGAAAATGTATTACCGAAGAAAATGTAAAACAAGACCAACACAAACACAAACGAGACCAAAACCAACACAAACAACACCAACACATCATCAACAAAACCACAATTTGTATCAAAGTCAGGGACTACTATATGACAGGACGCACAAATTCGATTTTCTGAATTCGCAAGTGAAGGCCATTTTTACTATCAAAAGTGGAAGCGTTTTAAACATTAGAGTAATATTTTTTGAAAATCTCTTTCATTATCATAATTTAAAAACACAACACTTATTAAATTTATTAAATTATAATGAACTTAATAAGTGTTGTGTTTTTGAATTACCTAAAGAAACAGAAATGGATTAGTGTGCTTCCTCCACGTAATGATTTTATTATAGACCCATCTTCTATCAAAAAAACATCTAAAAAGCATTTTTCAACAGAAAAATATTTTTTTGATAATTGATAAGGTAAACCAGACCAACAGTTGCTTATTCAGGCGGAGTTTTATATAGGATGGCAAAAAATGATCCAGTCTAAAGCAACTTCTATGCTATATGTAATGATGAAATGCTTACATGGTGGACCTAGTCTAACGGTTTCTGTTACACCTGTTTATAAACTAACATCAATGTATCAATTCAGTATTGTGAAAGAAGCTGCTGTTTTAGCTGAAGAAAATGGTACCATTATTTTAGGATCTGTAACAGATAATCATAAAATCAATCAGCAATACTGCAAAATTTTCAAAAGAATTACTTACTATTAGGCCATTCATCCATTAGATGATCAGCATGTTTTTGTTTTTGTTTTTTTGTTTTTTTTGATACAGTTCATCTTCTTAAATGCTTGCATAACAACTGGATTTGTGAAAAGTGTCAAAAGTTATCTCTTGACAATAAAACCATTGGTTCCTTTTCTGATGTCAAAAACCTACATTATTATGAAAAAGATAATATTTTGAAATCAGTTTCTATATTCGATGCTGCTGTTTACCTTCTAGACTTCAATTACAGAATGTGCAACATGTTTTAAAAATATTTAATGAGAAAGTAATAGCTGCTTTGAAACTAAAAAGAGCTCATGAAACATCCTCTTTTATTCAGCAGGTTTTAGATTGGTGGAATATTGTAAAAGTTTCTGCAAAAGGGCAGAATATTAGACTAAGAGACTACTACTGATCTGTGCAAGATAAAAATTTGAATAATCTCTAAATGTTTTTAGAACTATTTAAATCTATGAAATCAGGGCATGGACCCAAACGAATTCAATGTGTTACCCATGGTACTAAAAAAGCCCTTGTGCAAATTACTGAAGGATTGATAGCTGTCTGCAAGCATTTATTTTCAGTCAGTTTTGATTACATCTTGCTTCGTGAATTACAAAGTGACAGAATTGGTAAAGAATTTTGTGTTTTCAGACAACCAACAGGGGCAAATGCTTTTATGACAGCTGGGAATGTTTTTTCTGCTTTTAAAAAGCGTTTAACTCGATTTGCTGCAAAATTTCTAGAATTAGTGGAAATAGAGCAACCCAATAAAAAAGATCACACATGTAAAGATCCAATCAGTTTTGAAGATGCGACTTCAATTGAAACTTGCATTTATGATGTGAGTCTTTTAGAAACTAAAAAGAGCTCTGCTGCCTATTGGCAGGGTGGCTGGAGAAAAAATGTGAAAGTGAACTAGTTAATGCTGAGAATGAAATTATACTAACCAATAAAGCTAAAGACTTTATTGAAGAGGTTTCACAAGGATATTTGACAGTTTCTTGTAAGTGTACTTATCAGCTAGTTAGAATTGGGTTATGTGAACAAAAATAAACACAGAGCATGTTGTAGAAAAAGATTTATAAACAAAAAGATTTGTGAACAAAAATAAAAACAGAGCATGTTGTAGAAAAAGATTTATAAACATTATGTTTATAATGGATACATATTATGATTATACTTTATCATCAAAAAATCTTTATAGGCTATTGGGTAATGTTCTTTTGCATGGAAATCATAATTTTGAAAAAGACCAAGCAAAAAATGCATGTCTTTATCAGACATCAATTAAAAAGGCACGCCTTGTCAAGAAATATTTATTTATAGATAGACTTTATTAACATGTTGTTAATTTGCTTATAGAGTTTTATATACTGACTTCTAGACCGTTTTCGACAGCGCCGATCGTATTTGGTTGCCGATTTGGGCGCTGCCTAAATTAAAATTTAAGAACCTTTTACGTTTTTACAACAAATATTGTTTTTTTTGCAAAAAAAAAAACAATGATTTTTCGTTTAAGTCTGCCAAAACAAGAGGGTACCGCCCCCCCAATTTTTTTTCTGAGAATAGGCCCTGTATATATATGGATATACATATAAAATATGTATGTATATGTATGTATGTATGTATGTATGTATGTATGTATGTATGTATATATATATATATATATATATATATATATATATATATATATATATATATATATATATATATATATATATATATATATATATATATATATATATATATATATATATATATATATATATATATATATATATATATATATATGTATATATATATATATTGATCAAAGTACAAAAATGGTTTGTGATAATTATTGATAATGTCTGTGTGAACTCTTTTTTTATTTTTTAATAAAAGCAAAACTTTTAATTGTTATAGGTGGTAACATTTTGCTTTTTTTAATTCCAATATGATTGAAATTCCACACTTCTATAGTAAATTAAAAAAACTATCTAATATTATTATTAATAACTATTATAATAATAGATAATTAGAATAAATAATATATTTCTAAAAATCTTAAAACTTTTAACTTTGATTTCTTTTAAACTTGATTTCTTTTAAAATAAAATGTTGATTAATATTTTATTGAATGATAACACTAAGTAACATTTACCAATATCAAAACTTATTAATTGCTGGAATATTTTTCAACAATTAAACTTTAGGATAAAAAATATGCTTTTAAAAATGGCTATATCTTGAAAAGCATCTTTAGAAATTATACTGAATAAGATTACATACCAACGCATTTTGCTTAGTGGTTGAATTTTCAGTGGTTGAACTTTCTAAAAAAAAATAAAGAATTTATACAAAGAAAAAACCTTTACCACACACACACACACACACACACACACACAAACACACACACACACACACACACACACATACATACATAAATACAGCCTTCAGAATTGGGGTCTGCATTCTTCAGAATTGGGGTCTGCATTCTATTTTGTATCAAATATTTTTTGTTAACCTCAAGCAATTAAGGTTGGCAAATTATTACCAACCTTTTTTTTTCTAACTTTTTCTTAATTCCGAGGGCTGTTTATATATATATATATATATAAATATATATAAACATATATATATATATATATATATATATATATATATATATATATATATATATAATATATATATATATATATATATAAATATATATACATATATATGTATATATATATATATAAATATATATAAACATATATATATATATATATATATATATATATATATATATATATATATATATATATATATATATATAAATATATATACATATATATGTATATATATATATATATATAAATATATATATATATATATATATATATATATATATATATATATATATATATATATATATATATATATATATATATATATATATATATATATATATATATATATATATATATATATATATATATATATATATATATATATATATATATATATAGTCTTACATCGTAGTTGAAAAATTTCTTTCATAAACTGTAGTTTTAAATTGAACGCTAAAAGCTTGAATAAAGTTTTTTTTTTTTTAATGATAGATTGCTTGCGTTACATCAACTGAGGGTTTGGTTTTGCTCAAACCAAACCCTCAGTTGATGTAGCAGCACTTCCTTGTAGCAGCAGGCTATAAGATAGACGATGTAGCAGCACTCTCTTGTAACAGCAGGTTATAAGATAGTATATGTAGCAGCACTCCCTTATAACAGCAGGCTATAAGATGGTTGATGTAGCAACATTCCGCGCATGTTTTACAGTTAAAAAGCAACACTCCTCGCATGTTTTACTTATTTGTCAGTTGATGTAGCAACACTTCTTGCATGTTTTAAAAAACACTATAAAAGAATAAAAAACAAAAACATTAAATAAAAAAAACTTTCTAGTCATTATTACAGCAGTTTTTTAAAAAACAATAAAACCTAATGTACTTCCAAACCTAATGTAACAACCTAATGTACTTCCACATAAATTTAATTGTTTTAACTTTTGAATAATATTAAAATGTTGCTTAATTGTTGATGTCGCCAAAGTGTCAAAAAAAAAGCGTTAAAGGAGACTTTTTTCACTATAAAAGCTTCTTTCGACTATTATATAAGGAGATTTTAAATTTTAAAAATGATATCAAATATTAAAGGTTGTTTGAGTTGTTTACACTTTAAAAAGAATTATCAATTCTCTATAACTATGTGTTACTTGTGTGATATCTAAAAAAAAATTTAAATGACAAGCTAGGGGAAAAAGAACCAGTTTTTTTTTTTAAGAAAGTTGAGAATAAGTTTAGTAAAAATAAATTTCAAATAAAAAATTTCTTTGTGTATATATTTATGAATTTTATATATTTTGCAGCTTATTTTAAATAGATGTTACAGATTTCTGAATATTTTTTCCTTTTTATATCTACTTGTTCTAAAAAATATTTTATTAACAAAATATTAACTTTTAAAGACAACATTGCATTGCAGAATTAAGTATAAAATATTATTATATTTTCCAATATATTTTCTCAAATATATCAAAAACATAAAAAATTTTAATTATTTAGGCTTATATTGTGAGCAGCGGTGGCGCAGTGGTAGCGCACTTGCCTCAGAAACGTAAGATCGGTGGTACAAACCCCACCTCTGAGCAAGTTTTGTGACACCGGTTGGGAAGGAGGCGTGAACTTCCTATCAAATGCTCTTCCGCGGTGCTCTGTGATAAGACTGATAAGACTGTAAGGACTTCTTGGGGCACCTTAATCAACTTGAAAAAAAAATATATATATTTAAAAGGTCAAACAATGTTTTTTTTTTTTTTTGAATTGATTGCAAAACAAATAATCATTTTTAAAGACAAATATATTAATTAACATACTAATTGTTACTATAAACGAATTTAATTCTAATTAGATAATTTAATTGTATTTACAATTCTCAATGATCAATACAAAATAATTGTATACAACAATCAGTTTATTTTGCACCAAAAAAAATTTATATACTAAATTTATGACATGTTTTCCTTCAGTATTTAATACTTTTTTAATGTATGTATCACAAAATATCATATGTAGTAATGATTTGAACCATTTAATTTAGTTTAAATCACTTAGAAGATAAAATTATATTAAAATCTGAAAAAAGTTGTAATAAACCATTTTTGCAAAAATATATAATATTGTAAAGGGTGCTGAAATTCAAAATAAAAATGTTAAAATAAAAACTTTTCACAAAGTTACAATATTTAAAATAATATGAAAAAAAACCTCAAAAGAATACTCTTCAAACAAAACTAATAGTTTAACTTAGTAGAATAAGAAAAAAGATTACAAAATATTGCAGTAACTTCAGATCCAATAATCAGAACAATAATGTCAGCTGCAATAATCAAAACAACATCAGTTGCAACAATAAAAAAATGCAACATCAGTTGCAACAACAGGGTCAACAACATCGGATGCTATAATTAGGTCAACAACAGCAGTTGCAACAATCATAATAACATCAATTATCAGAACAACCTTAAAAATCTTAAAAAAGACCTTAAAAAATTTAAAAGTCTTTTGAATAAATTGAGTTATTATGAGAAGCACTTGCTAAAAATAATATGAAAAAGAATAAAAGACAAAATAAAAAATGTCTTAGGTCGGTGCTAGTTGGAACTAAGTGCTGTTTATTTAACTATATAACTACCAGTAATATATTTACACATTATGTATAATATACTCATAAACCTTAAAATGGTTATCCAAAAATATACTTGTAGTAATACACAAATATAATTTTAAAAACTCAACTCATAGTCCTAAAAATTCATAGGTACTCTTGGTTGGAATTAAATAAAAATTATATAATATTAAATTCATCCCACTTATTTACTTTTTTTCCTTACAGCTAACTTATAATAATAATGAATAACTTATAATAATAAATAATAACTTATAAGGAAAAGGTAAAAAATAATATCTTCAGCTTTTAATATATAAAACTTATTTTATATTTGTCAGATAATTGCTTGTTATTTTTCATTCTAATAATTGTTGGCTATTAATTGATAAAATCTGTCCTTTGAAATAAATATGATATACTTTGAGCATTGTTGATAAGCAGGTATTTTTGCCCACTGTATGAAGCTGATGTTGTGAAAACCTAAAAATAAATAACTATAAAATTACATAAAATTAAAATAATTTAAAGAACAAAAGAATACTAAAAATCAAATAAGAATAATTAAAAATAATTAGAAAAAAGAAGCAATTAAGATAAAAGCAACTAAGATAAAAAACAATAAAGATATTATTAGAAGTTTTAATGCAAAATGTGTATATCAGAAACTTCTATAAATCTCAAAATGCTCTAAGTGGCAGCAAGATATGTGACAGATTTTACTTAATAATATGTTACATAAAACAATAATAGAAACAAGGTTTTAAACAATAGTAAAAAAAAACAATTTTAAACAATTGAAAACAAGAGTTTTATTTTAAATCCTTACAATTATGTAAGGGGGTATAAATCGAAATTTCCGAAAAAGGGGGTCGAGTTATAAATTAATAATAATTAAATAATGTTGTCTATTATTTTTAAATCGAAATTTCAGAAAAATAAAGTTTTCTCTACGGTCCGAATTAAAAAAGGGGTAGTTAAACACTGGAATAATTAACAGGTTGAGCTTCCTTGCTCAACTTGTTTCTCTGTGCAGTGGTCTTGTTTGTTGGTAAGTTTCATGTTTTGGAGTTTATAGGTAAGAGAGAGAGTTGCAAGTAAATAAAATGAGTATCATCCTCGACTAGACTGTGTATAATTGGGCTGTGTATAATTAAGTGACATCTTTTGGGGCCTTGGGAAGGGAAATTAAATAATAAGTAATAATAATAAAGAATCATAATATAGAATTTTTTCAAATTACAACAAACCTTGCTTTTATCTTTTTCATGTCTATTTTGTGTTTGTTCTAAAAAAAAAAAAATTAATAAAGAAAAAAATATCAAAATATCAGGTATATAGATTATTTAATGATTGTTATTTAATGATTGTTATTGAGGTTTTTATTCAGGTTTGTTATTGAGGTTTTTATTCATAACTTTAAATCATAGTAATATAACTTTAATTAAAAAATTATTTATGTCAATAAATATCATTATTTATACAAACAAAAACTTACCATAAATGAGTGCAGTGATATCTTGAGATATCTGAGACGGATGATCGCATAATAAGTCAAGAACTTTTTGACCCTCGTTATTCTCAATCTCAATGTCAATTCCTGAAAAGTAAATTAAAAACTTTAATAATAAAAAAAACAAGTGTTAAAATGTTAAAATTCTTTAGGTTTTTATTTGACTTGCATTTTTTATAAACAAAATTCATTTAAGTTAGTATTATAAATTATATTCGCTACAATATATTTATATTAATTATCATAATATTATACTTGAATTTGGTTAAATGCTTTTTTTATTTATATTTAATTTATTTAGTTTACAAAAATTTTTTTTTTCTCATTATGAATTTTCAGATTTTATTTAAAAACCCATTTTTTTCATAAGTTATAGAAGAGTTAAACTGACAGGTAGGTAACATTAACACATGTGGTAGAATGAATGTTTTTACAATCACTTGCCGACTATTGTTTAAATTATTTTAGATCATATAGAACCATCTGTCAAATAATAGCTATTTTTATTAGCATAAAAGCAAATATAAATATCAACACAAAACAGCTAACATAAATTAAGTTTATTCCTAATTATTCCAAAAGAGAAGACTTTTTTTAAAGTTTTTTCAAGACTAAAATACTGTTTTACATAAATTTTTATGATGTTATTTCTTAATGCTAAGTATTTAAGATGATTGTTTAGTATTTGCTTAAAATGCACATTTTATTTTTGAGATAAAATTGACAAAACGTCAAAGTTAATTTATATATATATATATATATATATATATATATATATATATATATATATATATATATATATATATATATATATATATATATATATATATATATATATATGTATATATATATATATATGTACATATATATATATATCTCAACTCGTTTCTCCGCGCAGCGGCCTTGCTCGTCAAGGTTCGTGTTTCGGAGTTATAGAGTTTAGAGAGGGTTATAACCACAAATAAGTAGCCTCCTCGTCTGTAGTGGCCTTCTCGGCCTTGAGGAGGTGAATTAAAATTAAAAAAAAATATATATATATATATATATATATATATATATATATATATATATATATATATATATATATATATATATATATATATATATATATATATATATATACATGTATATATATATATATATATATATATATATATATATATATATATACACACATGTGTATATATATATATATATATATATATATACACACACACACACACACACACACACACACACACACACACACACACACACATATATATATAAATATATATGTACATATATTTCCAAAACTTCTCAGCACAAAATGTGAAAATACTTTTAAAAAAAAGACAATTTTTAAATTCTATTTAAAAATACTTTATGATTTAAATTCAAGACATTTTTATACTATATATAGTCATCATCAGTTAAAATATATTTGTTCAAAAAGGTATAAAATAATGTATATAATTGTAAAAATTAACATAATATAAGCCATAAAATTAATAACAAACTTCCTATATATATACAAAAAAGAACATTTAAAAATCATTTAAGAAATTTCAAATATAAAAAAAGAACTAATTATATTAAATGGTAAGAGTCATTTTAACATGATTTACTTGTTACATGTTTTTCTCATATTAATACTTTATTTTTAATTCAATTTTGTTATTTGCACAATTTAAAGTCAAAAAGCACATAAGTCAAAAAATATTTTTAATTTGAGTGAAGATAATATAAAAGGGATAAAAACTCTCTTATAAATAAGAGAGCTTTTATCCCTTCTGTAGTGTTCAATCAATTGCGTCTTTAAGTGGCATTATATTTATAAAACGTGATGTTTTGTAAATATAACAGGCAAAACATATTTGTAAACAACGAATGGTTAAAAATCTACAGGAAGGTGATCTTTAGATGAAAAAAAGTTAGACACTTAGACACTTAGACAAGTTTGACACTTTGGGTAATAATTAAGAGGAGAAGCACCACAACTTTTTTTTATTAAACTCCAAAAAATAGACAAACTTGTGAAGTATATTTTACTTAAAATTACACTTCAATGAAGTATATGCAACAAAACTCCTTTTGAAAGTGAAAATGTGTTTTGTGCTGTTGCGAAAAGAAGGAATTTTTAAAAATTACTTTTGTTAATTTGTATTGTTTTTGATAACATCAACAACAATATCTATTGGTTTTTGTAATGGAATATTTTTGTATAAGCTTGTGATATCGCAAGATACAAAAAAACTGTTAAATAAGTTCACATCATTTACTTCTTTAACAAAGCTGAAAGAATCTTTAGTACAAAATTCAGACGGTATTAATGGAGATAATAAATCTCAAAGAAATCTACCCAAATGATAGTTATAAGTACCAATAGATGATATGATAGGTTGGAAACATATAACATAATCAGAAGACTTTAATTTATGCATTTTCAGAAGACTGCATATAGCGCAGGACAAAAAACTGTAAGATAAATTTTATTATAATTCGAATCATCAAAAAAACCTTTTCCTTTGGCTTTTTTTAAGTTTTGAAGTTGCGTTTCCCTATTAATGATGTCTTTTTTTTAAGTGTTTAAAATTAATTGGATCATTAATAATATTGTAAATTCCATTGTCATAAACCTTTTTATCCAATATAAAACAATATTTCCTTAATCTGGTTTTAAAATAACAATAAACATCTGGTTTTAAAATGTCATGTCTTTTTAAAGTTTCCTTAGATGGTCAGTATTTATATGTATACAAATATCGGTATTTCTGAGATGTTTAGGTTGAATAAATAAATTTAAGCTATTTTTAAGGATGTCTGACTTGTCATCCAAAAGTTTATATGATTTTTTTAACAATTTGTGATGATATTGGAAGCATTAAATGGAGTAATTTTGCCATTTGTTAAACCTCTTTTAGTAAATTTTTATTAATTTTCCCATTTCTTTTTTGGTATTACAATTCAAAACTTTGATCAAAATAAACCAATCTATTGAAGATAAATTCACTTTGAAATTGGCTTCAGTAAGAGTAATTTCTTTAAAAAACTGTAGCTTTTCCTTGTTGCGCCTGGCTATTGCATTGCGGAGTAATCTTTTCCTTATCAAACAAGAATCCAATATAGATGCTACAGGTAAATTAAAACGCATAAACTTGGGTAGAACTCCAAAAGTTCTACAACTATTCAAAAACTCAATATCTAAATTAGCTTTACCCAACTTCATGTGTTTTACCCTACTTCACATTTGGCAAAACAATCTATCTTATTTTTCTTAAAAGTAAAAACTCTAAATTCCAAATTTACTTAAAAATGACCCCATGTATAAAGTCATCTTATTTTCATATAAATAACATATCAAACTTACTTAAAAAAAAACCATATCCACTAAATCATTATATTTATACAAACAACAGATCAAACTCACTTAAAAAAGCCCCCGAGCACTAAGTCATCTTATTTTCATATAAACAGCAGATCAAACTCACCTAAAATAGACCCTGTGCACTAAGTCATTTTATTTTCATGTAAACAACACATCAGACTACTCAAATTGAATGGAATTAAGAAACTCTTAAAATTATCTTTGAGCAAGTACATAAGGTTAACGAGAATTTACAAGTACTACAACAATATCAAGGACTAGTTTTTTATTCAAGGCAGTTTTACAGAGTCTTGATGTATGACCAAATGTAGAAAAACAAAATTGTTGTCAGGGTTGCTTTGATTAAAAATCCTAAAACATTTCAAAATTTTTTCTTTTGGTGAATTTTAAATTGGAGCTCCATCTGTTAATATTGCAACATTTTTGTGCAGTATTTCAGTTATTTGCATCATTTCCACCATTGTACTAAAAATTGTAGAGCAAAACTTATAGCTAATAATTACTAAAACAAAAAAGACTAGCCTTTCATACATACATTAAATCATATTATTAGTCACAATTGTCCTTTTGGCATTGACATTAATAATAACTATTAAGTATTATATTATTACTAAAATTATACATAAAATTATTCATAAAATACTATTTATATTATTACTAAAATTATATTATTACTAATTATATTATTACTAAAATTATACATAAAATGATATTATTATATACAAAGGTTAAGGCTACTTATTTTATATATAAGGAGAAAAAACTCAAAAATTGAAAAAACTAAGAGTTTCGTTAGAACCTTTTAAAAAATTTATAAATCTTACCCTTTTGCAAAAGTAATTTCGAAACTCCAAATTTCCCATACAATGCAGCACAATGCAAAGCTGTTCCCATATCACACTAAAATTAAAACCAGCACAAATACATAAATGGTAACTGTCAAAACTGTTATAAATATTAAACTGTAAATAAATTTACAGTAGCATTCACTGGCATTCCATTTGAAAGAAGCAACTCAACAATTTTTTCATGTCCATTTCTGGCAGCGAAATGCAAAGGACTATGTTTATGTATTGCATCAAAAAACACTGTACGGTCATAAAGTAAGATTAATTGAACCTATTGGAAAAACAAAAAAATCAACATGTAAAAAGAAATTTCAAGAATAAATTAAAAAATTGATTAAACAAATTTTATCAAATTACTGATTTTTTATGAAAATATTATTTTTAATTTAATTATGTTATAAAAGTTTGCATTATACTGTTTTATATATATATTAGTACTGACTTGTATTGTCCATAAATTATTGGAGACAATAAATAAGGGACAATATAATGCTAAAAAAATATACTTATTAGATTTTCAAAATGCTTAAATCATAAAAACTCCAAATAAAAACCGTTGTGAAATAAAATGAACCTTAGATTATTGTTTGGTATGTCTTCGTCAAACCAACTTTGCAAATAGACTACATTATTTTCATAGTTTTGACTTTTCTTCTATTTACGTATATATTAAAATAAATAATCAAAACAACACTTACTGTAGAAAATCTACCATACATTGCTGCAAGGTCAAGAGCTGATTCTTCTTTAGCATTTCTTAAATGTAAGTCAGCATGGCACTAACAAGAATTTTGAAAAAATAAACATTAAATATATTAAAATTTAAATACATTAATTTCTTTGATTTAATTGTAACTTCAAGACATTTATTTAAAGCTAATTCGAAGTTATTTACAAACTAAAAATTTTAAAATTGAAATGCTGTAAGAAAAAAATTGATTCTCAAAATGGTCCTTAAATCTTAGTTTGTGAAACCTATGCATGAATATAAAATTCAAAATCTAAAAAAATCAAAAATTCAAAAAGAATTTAAATACAATAAATAAAAAGAATTTAAAGACAAATCTTTGTATCAATGCACTTTAATAGCAACCTGATTTTGACTTTTGAGAGATCAAAACTTAGTTTTAAATTACACTCAATAAATATGTCTTTAAGTATATAACATTGGACCACATATACGTGTGGATTACCCAGGACTAATGCAAACCTATAATTTTAATTAAATTGAATTAAAGGTCAATCCCCAGTACATCACTGATATCCAATGGTATTGCAAAGTAGTACAGCAGCAGACATGCATTTTAATCCAACATTTAGTTGTGTTTCTTTTGTTTGATCTGCACTAATCAAATGATAAGCAGTAGCTTATCATTTGATTAGTGTAGTACCAAAAGAAAGAAAAATTTTTACAAAACTAATAGTATCATTTTTTTAAATATATTATAATATATTTAGAAAAAAAGCAAAAAAAACTACAACTTATAAATTATTAACAAATACGATTACTAGCAGAAAACGATTTGTTATTTATTGAAAATATTATATAAATTTATTATAATACATTTAACATACAATATATATATTTTTTTTTAGCATCCTTACTTCCAACAAGGCTGCAAGCAACCACTATTAGAATTGGAAGTTACTGAAAGAGAAAAGATGAATTTTATAGAGCAAGAGATGTCAATGATTGACATATATATAATATACTTTGTATACTTCGATTTAAACTTTAAAACATAATATCTATAAGGTCTAAAACTTAAAATATGAAGCTTATAAATTTCAAGGGATCATGACAATTTATTTATTTGATCTTTTCTAAAAAAAATCAATATCTTACTAATTTTAATGTTTAAATGTATTTTTATAATAATGTATTTTATGAAAATATTTATAACTTTACTTGTATTTAAAAATTATATATTGAAATTAATTCAAATTGTATTTATAAAGTTTACAAGCTGCTAAATAAATTAACATTAAATGCTAAATAAAAGATATTTATAGTGACCTAAACACTTAATCGTTTAAATATCAACTGTTTATTTTGTTTGGTTTTAGTATAAAGTATATAAATATTTTTTTTTGGTTGTACATATATTTTTTATTCTTTAAATTGATAACAAACATCAATTGTTAGTTTAAAAGCAACAAAAAATAAGTGTAAAAATAACTGTTACTGTGGTCAAGTTACCCAAACTGCAAATACTTAAAAAAAGATTACCTCTAAAAGAACTTTAACAACTTTAGTATGACCATATTGTGATGCGACATGTAGTGCTGTATCACCAGCTAAATTCTGTAACAAATAACAAACATTACTACAATAAAAAATCTGTTTGTAAAAAACACGTACAATTCTTTTTTTAATTTTCTTTTAAACAAAATCACAATAAACAAGGCTGCATTGACTAATTAATCAGAAATTCAGCATTGACTAATTAATCAGAAGTTAACAGAAAACAAATTCTTTCTAAACAAGGCTGCAAACAACAACTAATTAGAAGAATCAAACAACACCTGACAGAAAACAATTAAAGAAAAAAGAACTAAAGAGCAAGAAATCAGTTGACAGAAATATTTGTATGAGTCTCAAGCTCTGAAACTAAAGCAGGTTGACAGAAAAATTTGAGGTAGTTTTATGAAGTTATAAGTTCTCAATTGTTATAAATTTCTTGCTACTGAATTAAAAAATATATATTTATTTTTTAATTTAAAAAAATAAAAAGTTAATAAACATTAAAAAAATCAATTGCTTTGAACTAAATTAAAGAGTACATTAACTTTGATTTTAATTTATTTAGTGACACTCCTAATAATTTAAATAAGCAGCATTACAAGTATGAAAAAAGCTAACCTATATATGTATATACACACACACACACACACATATATATATATATATATATATATATATATATATATATATATATATATATATATATATATATATATATACATATATATACATATATATATATATATATATGTATATATATATATATATAATATATATATATATGTATATATATATATATGTGTATATATATATATAATATATATATATATATATATATATATATGTATATATATATATATATATATATACATATATATATATATATATATATATATATATACATATATATATATATATATATATATATATATATATATATATATATATATATATATATATATATATATATATATATATATATATGTATATATATATATGTATGTGTGTGTATATACATATATAGGTTAGCTTTTTTCATACTTGTAATGCTGCTTATTTAAATTATTAGGAGTGTCACTAAATAAATTAAAATCAAAGTTAATGTACTCTTTTATTTAGTTCAAAGCAATTGATTTTTTATATATATATGATTTTATATATATATATATATATATATATATATATATATATATATATATATATATATATATATATATGTATATATATATATATATATATATATATATATATATATATATATATATATATATATATATATATATATATATATATATATATATACTGTGTATCAAGCTACTGTTTCATCCAATAAACCAGATTACACAAAAAAAGTTTATATTGGTATTAGCGAGACCCCTTTTAATTTAAGATATGCAAACCATTTAAAATCTTTTAGTTTAATAAAGTACAGCAATGATACGAAATTATCTAAAGAAAATTTGGAAACTTAAAGAAGAAAACTTTTCGTTTGTTACTAAGTGGAAAATTATCAAGCGCTGCCAAACATATAATCCTTCGTCCAAAATTTGCAATCTTTGTCTTAATGAAAAGTATTTCATTATTTTAATGTATACAGGGGGAAATCTGTTGAACAAAAGGAACAAGTTGGTTTCAAATTGTAGGTATAAAAATAAATTCCTTCTTTCATTTTATGATACTGGCGATTAGCTGATTTATATAAAATTTTCATTGACATTTTCTTGTTTTGTCTCTATAGAGACATCAGATGTCCCTCCACTGTATTTTATTAACGGTTTATTTGTTTTTGATATAGTACATGGCTGATGATTGCCGTATAGGCATGAAACTAATAGTCCCATGAAAAGTTGTTTTTTCTATATGTAAATATATATATATATACCGCTCAAGTTAGAAAGTTGTTTACTTTTTTTATTGAGCGCTCTTAACCGAAATAGAGTTTTGTATTATTATTGTAATACACATTAAATATCAATCGATATATATATATATATATATATATATATATATATATATATATATATATATATATATATATATATCCTATATTACAGAGGTAAAGTTTCTTTTTAAAATCAGTTTTAAGAAGTTCTAAGTGTGCAAAAACATCGGTATAGATCAATTTATAAAAAGTTTTGAATAAAAAAGTTATGTTATTATTTTAATTTTTTATTTGTTAAAAATGCAATGGTGAATAATATACTTAAATTTATTTTTTTGAATCTCAAATATAAAATATTAATAAACTTTTACAATATTTAACAAGAAGTGAAAAGCATGTCGACAAATAATTGTTACTAGCAACTTTTGGAGTAAAAATCTTACGTTGAAATTTTACTACAACATCCAAGGCAAATAAATTAATCGAAGAAAAAAAAAGAATTGCATCAAATATCCCATTATATTTGTACATAATAACAATTCTAAACTTTTTGATTTAATTTTTAATTAAATAGTCTTACTTAGTTTACTTAATAAACTGTTCACTATAGAGGTAACATTATCAGGAAGATAACCAAATAGAAAAGAAACAGGGACCATGAATGGAACTTTGTGGTACCCCAGAAGTTAATAGAAATGAAATTAAAAGTTGTCTATTAAGAATAACTTTAATACAGCAGTTAGAAAAGAATGATTCAATAATTTAAAAAATAAAAACAATAAAAACCTTTTTGAAAAAAAGGTTTTTTTATTGTTTGGGAAATTTTTATTTAATTTAGAAAAATTTTCTTGGCAATTTCTGGAAATTAGTTTTTTTTTAATTTAACTATTTTTTTATAAAAATTTTTTCTAAAACAAATGTGAAGCCAATTGTTCTTAATTTATCTAACTTTGCTGTAGCATGTGTTCACTTTCTTCTTAAAAATAATCAAAAATACCAAATAATCCAAACACTGCAGTGCACATGAATTTCTGAATAAAATTTTGCAGATTTTTTTTTTTTAGTTATTTTTAAGACTTTTTTTTCTAAGGTAAAAAAAAGTTGTGAAAGATGGGGTTTAGAACCATTTTACAATCTCTATTAGTGAACCTAAGTACCTCAATCATTTGTGATCCTAAGTAAACTCATCAACCATAAAAACAAAAATGCTCAATCTACTGTGTGAAACCAGAACAAAAATTGAACTAAACTTGGAAAAAGGACAAAAATTTCATAAAGTTTTCTTTAAATTGATTATTTTTGACATGCAGTGAAATTTCATCACAGTTATTTAGAGATGACAATTCATTTTACTTTAAAACAAAACCTCCTTCTACTTCCACATAATTTCAGTCGTAGAAACATTCTTACTGAAAAAATGTTTAGCAGTAAATGATTTTTCACAATTTTTATTTTTTTCATTAAAAGAATATGGTTTTATTAATTATTTTTTACAAATATATAATTTTTTTTTATTGTGTTGGTAAAAATCATTATATATATTTTAAATCTTTTTACACATTTGAACTTGTAATTAAAATAAAAGAGAAAAAAACAAAAAAAAATAAAAAATAAAAAAAAGAGAAATAAAAGTTTGTGAAAAAATTTAGTTAACACCTGTTAGAACTATATGTTGAATGTGTTGCTGTAATGAATCTTACAATATATTGTTATAATGAACCAACACAGTTTTGTTGTAGCAAACTAACTCTGTTGTTTTGCTACAACAAAAACAGTTACTGTTGTAATTCATAAACTATATGCTGTTGTAATACGTCAACAATTTCTTAGGTGATTGAATTAACGATTTTAAAATAAAAATATTAAATTCTTAAAACAGTAGATAGAAAAGTATTTTTTTGCATATTTGTGGATTAGTGAGTTAAAAAGTAAGAAACTATAAAATTATATATTTAAATTTATCTTAAATTATGTTTAAAAGCAACACAAAAAAATAAAAAAACTTTTAATCATAATTACAAAATTTTAAAGTTTCGATTACATATAAAAGACGAAAAATGGTATACAAATAATAACTTTTGACAACTTATTATAAATGAAAACATTCTAAAATAAGTCTTAAATTGATTTCTTAATATGAAGTAATATTCAAATTTTTTAATCTTAATCAAATTTTAAAACATATTCTTTTTTTGTTTTCCAATAACTTTCATCTGTTGAGAAAGCAAAAAAAAAAGCAAAAATTATACTATTTAAATTATGTAACAACATACCGGTTCATTTACACTGGCTCTTGAAGGTCCTCTGGTAATAAGTAGTGATGCAACTTCATCATGTCCATTAAAAGCAGCAAGATGTAAAGGAAAACTTCCTAAAAAAAACTAAATAATTTAGATTTTTATTAGAAAATTTTATAACAACCATCTGTTATAAAAAAAATTTTATAACACCAATGTGTTATAAAATTTTCAAGAGAAAAAACTAGATAAATAAAGGTTTTTTTAACATTAAAGTAACATTTACAGTAAAAACTAGATAAATAAAGGTTTTTTTAACATTAGAGTAACATTTACAGTAAAACTATTAAGTTTTATTAACTATTAAGTTTCAGTTGATGCTCTAAGTAATCAAAAAGTGATGAATTTTTGAGTATCTAATTTTTAAGTATCTCATTTGATTGATTTTGATAATGTTGAATTTTTTTTTTATTATTATTATGTTAATTCACTATCCCAAGGCCGAGAAGGCCACTACAGACGAGGAGGCTACTTCGTTGTAATTATAACCCTCTCTCAACTCTGTAAATCTGAAACCCCAACCTTGATGAACAAGGCCTGCATGGAGAAACAAGTTGAGCGCACTACAATCAGGGATGTGGTGGGGATCAAACTTGGAACCTCTTGCCTATGAAGTGAGTGCTCTACCACTACCCCATTTATATTTATATTATATAGTTGTCTACTTATATTTATACTTAATAGTTTTATTTATATCTATATTAAGTTTATTTATATTTATATTATATCCTATCAAGAACTATATTAATACTGTAGTTAGAAAGAAATGTTTCAATAAAATTTTACCTAGATGCACCATATAAAGTAAGTTTATGGAGAAGACCAGTATATCAGATTTTATCAAAAGCATTATATATGTCAAAATTAATAGCCCTTGCCTCACTTTCCTCATCTTTCTGTTACAATGATTAACAAGTCAGCAGTAATATAAAAGAATCTGTATTGATTGTCAACGAGTAAGTTATTAGACTTTAAATATTAGAAATTTGTTAATTAGAGACTATGCTAAAAGAACCACAAATTTCATTAACAACAGGTCTTCCTGTTTGTTTGGGATGTCAGCAAGAGCACTATCATAAGATGTTAGAGATGAGTTAGAAGAAAAATCTTCTGCCTAATTTTGGGATGGTAATAAAATCATTCTCGCATGGGAGAATGTTAGATTTTACCTTTGTTAATGACATTGCTAAAATTTTTTAAAAAATTTTCATCATTGATGTTAAAGATTTTCTAAAAGCCATTAAAACCTCTAAAATAAAAAATCAAAATTAATTTAAGTAAAGATAACGAACCTTAGTGTCAGACAATACTTATTTGCATTGATTTCTTGTAATAATAAAAAAAACATTTGTTCTCCAAAGAGTTGTTCTTGTTGAATTAAAAATACAAAGCTTGACTTGAAACCAATGAGAAAGAATTATTGCTTGAATGCCTGCCTGAATCCAGGAAATTTTTAAAAAGATGTAGATTTCGGCAGGATAAAGAACATCAGCCCAAGGACCATTATGAGAAAAATGACAAAAAGAACCCAGTCAGAGGTAGAATATGAAAAGGATTTGAGTGAGATAATAAATTAGCCTAAACTACCTAATGAAAAACAAGAAGAAACTAAGTGCAAGCTTAAAAACAAGCAAGGGTTAAAAACACAAAAACAAGTCAAAACGTAAATTACCTGAGTAAGAGATTGAGGAAAACAAAAACTTTGAGCTTTAATCCAAGCAGGGCACCAATTTATACAGTGTGATGAGCAATCAAGTCATACAGTGTGATGAGCAATCAAGTCATACAGTGTGATGAGCAATCAAGTCATACAGTGTGATGAGCAATTAAGTCATACAGTGTGATGAGCAATCAAGTCATACAGTGTGATGAGCAATCAAGTCATACAGTGTGATGAGCAATCAAGTCACCAAAACAACAATGGCTGATGGATAAAGATAGAGAACTTGATCAATTTGATGAAAAATAATATCCAAAAAAGTGCAATCTTGGAAAGAAAAACAAGATAAATAACAAAAAGAAAAGTAATTGAGTGAAAAGGTTAAAAAAGAAAAGTAATTGAGTGAAAAAAAACGAAGAATGATGAATGAAATGATTGCTGCCCCAACCCAAACCCTCAGTCAATGTAGCAGCACTCCACTGTCAGTCAGGCTATTTGTCAGTCGATGTATGTACTGAAGCCCCCAGTAGCAGGCTATTTCAGTATGACGTCAGATTGCTTACCTTAGTACACAATGACTTTTAATGACTTGCACATCTGTGGTAGCTACGTTCTGAAATGGTGCCCTTTGCTCTATTCAGTGATATTGTTTCAAAGCCTGAATTACAGTACTTAGCTGAGAGGCTTCTGGCAGTGAGGCCTAGTGATGAAATGGCTCTGCCGCATGATCGCTACAGAATTGGCTTTGGAAAATTTAAGTTCCCGACTAAAATCACATTCACAACAAGACTTGGAGATTTGGTTACTGCAGATTCATGGTACATTTTCAGACTTTTAGAGATAAATGTGGATTTTCTTAACAATAACATTAAAAACTGGCCAGTTTACCCTTCGTTTCTGTCATCAAAGATGAAGACAGTTTCTGTCAATGTTATCAATGACAGTGCAGAACACAACATGAAACTAAGTGCAGACTTTCTAGATGCAGCCAAAACTGAGGTGAATTATCAGAACATTCTGCAAGTTGTTGAGGCTAACAGAAAGAAAGTTCCAAGTCTGTGCAGCCATAAGAAGAAACAAGCAGCACCAACAGTCAAAGATCACGAAGATGACAATTGACAATATTTAACTATATACCCAGAGTCCCAGTAGCTAAAAGCTACCTATTCTACTGTGCTCTGTTCGATATTGTAAATTTTGTCATACTTGTTTGGAATATTTGAGTATTCTTTTGTCCATTTGACAGTCTTTGCAGTAATTCCTGGAACTATAAGTAATTTTGTGTGTATTAATTGTTTAAATGTAACTGACGATAGTAATAGTATTAATTACAGTTTATTGCAAAAAATACAGGTATTTGTGTTCGTTGTGAACCCATTAAATTGCCACAGAAAAATCTCAAATTTTTACAGGAGTCATAATTTATGAAGTAGAACACAGGAATCATAAGGCCGAAACTAAAGTAAATAGTTAAAAAAAACTGTTTAAATTAATTATATACCAGCATTATCAGGTATGTTTGCAGAAGCATCATTGTGAAGCAAAAAACATACAACATCCCTAAATTTAAATCAAAAACAAAATTAAATAAGAAATAATTTAAATAAATAAAATAAAATTTTTGAAATAAATCCATTTGTTAAATAATTACTACAGTATAATATTAATAAAATCAAAAATAATAAATTTAAAAGAATGGCAATCATTAATGACTTGTAACCAGTTTATATCATTTTGTGTCTTTTTTACTGATTAAGATGATGACTTTTTACTAATGATTGACATGCTTAAATCCAGTTGCAAAGTATGTTAATAGTGTAAATCTGTTGAGCATTATACAAAATAATTATATCAAACTAAAATAGGGATAGAAAAGTACATACATTGACTGGCTGGTTTCGGTTTGGGCAGATATCTAGATATCGAGAAAAAGATTTATTACAGTAAAAAATATATTTCCATATTTTTCTGTCTTTTTCTAAAAAATTGAATCAATCAAAAGTTTATTTCTGTAGAAGTGTATCAAAAGTTCTTTAGAAATTCCCATCAAACATATTTGTTCCAGGACCAGTTTCAGTGACACCAAGCTGTCACAGAAATAAGCCTGTTTTTATTAGAATTTATATGCTCAATTTTTTAGCAAAGTGCCAGCAGCTGAAACCACAGATTTAGTCTTATTCTGACAAGGTCATAAGAGATGCTGCATTATAGGCATCCAGATGCTATCTTGTTGGTCTTTTTGATTCACAAATAAATGTCTTTTTCAAATCAATCTGAAGCAACTCAATGGACATGTTGAGATGATTCAGATTGTGTAAATTTATTCATTCATAACTTCTTTAACTTACATTTTTTTCGTAAAGCTCTACTATTAAATAGTTTAAACACATAAACTAATTTGACATACACAAAGTGTCTTAAAAGTTGCTGTTTACTAAACAATTATGAATATGTAAAATAGAATATAGAAAACAATATACACATATTATGAATATGTACTATAGAATACAATATTATATATACAATCAGGGTGTTAACCAGGAATAAATTTGATACAGCGTTTTAACGAAATTAGGAATTTGTTGAAGTATTTCTCAATCACCCCCTCCTCCTCTGAGATTA